CTACTCTGTGACCTCTCTGAGCCCCTGTTTCCTCATTTCCAGGGGTCATAAGAGCTCTTAGTTAACACCGTGACTGTGGTAACATGATTGCAGCCTCTGAGTGCCTTGTCTGCCTGCTTTCTGATCCTCACTTCCCACCCTGCTTTCCTGCCCCTACTCACTCCACTCAGGGCCTTTGCACATACAGTGCCTGCTGCCTGGAGCACTCCTGCCCATCCCTTAGTTCACAGTCCCAGTGCTGATGACAACGAGTGTTTGATATTTACCAGGCACTGGGCTAGACTTGACCAACATTTTCTTCTTTCAAGCTTACTAAGAGCTATTGCTGAGGGCACACTTGGTGGCTTGGGAACCTCCCAGTACTTCCACTAAGTTGTCCCACCTTGGGCACATTACTTCTCTTTCTGGACCTCAGTTTCCCTATCTGGAATGTGGGAATAGGGTTCATAGCTGTATTATCATCAGGTAGCTATAATAAGAAGTGAAAGAGTTCATGCCTGTAAAAATGCTTAGAATAGTGTTTGGCACATTTTAACTGCTATGTAAATGTTTCAGTAAATCTCTACGTCTCAGATGAGAAAGCAGAGGCACTTGTCTTTGATTATATAGGCAGGAGGAGACAGGCAGGCCGGTTCCAGAGGAGGCTGCATTTCCTCCCCTTGGAGCCTCTTGAGTTCGGCTTAGATGTCGCTTCCCCGGGGAAGCCCTCTCTGATAACCCTGACAGCAAGAGGGCCCTGCGTCTGACAGAGTGCCTTTCCTTCCTGCCACTTGTCACGGCTGTACTTGTGTGTCCCTATGGGCTCATTTCATTGCTGTCTGCCTCTTCCGCTCAACCAGAAACCTCTTGGGAGCAGGACCACACCTGTCTTACTCCTCATGCTGTCCCCGGCCTATGCCAGGCCTGACCATAGTACCTGCTTTGTGAGTGTGTGTTTAAAGGAAGGAAGACTCTGTATGGCTTTGTGGGTAGGTTGCGCAGGATGAGCTCATGAAGAGAAGCCCAGATAGGAAGCCATGGCATAAGACTGAGTTCCGCTGAGGGTGCTGAAAACACAAGCTAGAAGTTTGACCTCACACGGGAAAGGGATATTCAGGCCTCGGCAGCCTGGGCCTGGCGTGGCATTTCCATGGTCATCAGGAGCCGCCATTCCTTCTATTCTGTGCCTAAAAGGTCTCGTGACACTTTGCTTGACAGCCCACTGGCCAGAACTTGGTTACACGGCTACATGAGTCACAAGGAAGGCTGGAAAAATAGAGCCCTCTGGCCAGATAAAAGTCAGAGGTTCTAGTTGCATGTGCTGGTGCATATCTGTAATCCCAATATTCAAGAGGCTGAGGCAAGAGGATTGAGGATTGCCATGAGTTCAAGTCCAGCCTAGGGTATAGTGAATTCAAAGCTGGCCTGAGCTACACAGTGAGAACTCTATGTCAAAACAAACAGCCAACAAACCAACAGTCAGATTTTGTTACTATGGGGTAACCATAAGGGTAGAAAAGATGTTGGGGGACAACTAGCAGTATCTGCCAGGCACTAGTGACAGATGTGCATCTTCTTCAGGCTGTGGAGGGGAAGTAGGCATGTAGCAGACGGCTACTGATTCAACAGTGCTGAAAAACAGATCACCCCCAGGTCTGTGGTTTAAAACAGCAGTCACATCTGCCCATCCCCTGGCGTCAGCTGGCACAGGCGAAGATGGGTGGACTTGGCTTTTCACTGAAGGCTGGGCTCAGATCCACTATGTGTGACCCTTTCCCTGAGCATAACGGTTAGCATCTTCCTGGAGAAAGTTCTCACTGCAATGAAAACTCGTGTGTGTGTGTGTGTGTGTGTGTGTGTGTGTGTGTGTGTGTGCATGTTTAAATTTGAAATAATTATATATTCACAGGAAATGACCAAGATAGTACAGAGAGTCCCATGTACCCTTCACCTAGTGCCCCTCAATGAGTACTTCTTTTATAATTACAGTACAATAGCAAGGCTCAAAACTGACTTTGGTACTATGTGTGTAGCTGGATGTCATTTAATTACATGTGCAGATTCGTAAAACCACTACCACAATCAAGACACAGAATGGTTCCATCACCCGCAAAGATCTCCCTCAATATCCTTTTTATAGCTGTACCCATCCCCCACTACCACCTCTAACTCCGGGCAGCCACTAATTTGTACTCTACCTATATAATTTCATCATTTCAAGAATTTCACATAAATGGACTCATACAGCATGTGCCCTTGGGAGACTGTCTCTTTTCACACGGCATAATGTTCTTGAGAGGCATCCAAGCTGCCAGGTATCAATAGCTAGCTCCTTTTTATTGCTGAGTAGTGTTCCGTGGTATTGCTACACCAGTTGTCTTAACTTGTCACTTGCTGAGGGACATTTTGGTCATTTCCAATTTGGGGCTATTACATAGGCAAGGATTTTACACCGTTGTGTGGAGGTTTATGTAGCTGTATCTTCTCATTTCTCCGGGACGCATGTCTAAATGCAATTTCTGGGCCGTATGGTCAGTGCAAGTTTAGATTTTAAGTAATTGCCAAACTATTTTCCAGAGTGGTGGTACCGTGAAAAATGTGTTTCTCTGTATCCTTGACAGCATTTACTGTAGCACCTATGTTTTTTTAAGCTTCTCTAATAGAAGTGTGGTGATAGCTCATCAAAGTCTTAATTCACATTTCCCTAATGGCTAGTGAAGCTTAACATCTTTTCATGTACGTACTTGCTATCTCTTTATCCTCCCTAAAGAAATGTCTCTGTGTGTCTTTTGCTCATTTCTTTTTTTTGGTACTGGAACTTGAACTCAGGACATTGTGCTTGCCAGGCAGGCACTGTGCAGCTGAGCTATATCCCTGGTCCCCCATTTTGTAATTAGATTGTTTACTTTTTCACTGTTGAGTTCTGAGAGCACTTTATGTGACATCTCTATGAATCCTTTGTCAGATATACTATTTGCTAATAATTTCTCAAATAAAGTAGTCTAATGACTTTTGCAAAGCACAAGCTCTGACTTTTGGTGAAGTCCATTTTATATATTTTTTTCTTCTTGTATGCATCATGTTTTTGGTAGTATGTCTCAAAACCTTTCCCTAAGTCTTAGGTCCTGGAAATTTGCTCTTTTGTTTTCTTCTAAAAGTTGTATACTTTTACAGTGAAATCTGTGATCCATTTTGAGTTAATTCTTGCATAATCTGTGAAGTTCAGGTTGTGCTTCATTTTTTTTTTTTTGCATGAGTATATTCAATTGCTGCGGCACTGTCCATTAAGTATCCTTCCACTGAACTGGCTTTAAAAAACAGCTTTATTGAGACATCTGCATATCATACTATTCACCTAAAATGTACAATTCAATATTTTTAGTTTATTGACAGTCATTCAACTACCATTACAATGAGTTTTAGAACATTTTCGTCACCTCCTAAAAGAACTTGATGCCCATTAGCAGTCATCCCCTTCTTTATATCCCACCCTCATTGCCCTGGGCAACCATTATTTAATTTGTGCCTCTAGATTTGTGTATTTTGGACTTCATGTAAATAGAATCACGCAGTATGTGGTCTTTTGTAGCTAGCTTCTTTTACTTAGCATAATGTTTTTCAGGTTTATGATTTTGTAGCATGTATCAGTACTTTCTTTTTACTGCCTAATAAAATTCTATTGCCTATAATTACATTTTATAAGCCACATAATATCCCACATTTTTATTTATGCATTTATTGATGGACATTTGGGGTTTTTCCAATTTTTGGTAATTATGAATAACGTTACTATGAGTAATTACGTACAGTTTTCTTGTGCAGACATGGTTTCAATTCTCTTGGGTCTATACTTCACTGTATAATTGGTGAGTCACAAGCAAACTCTATTTTTAACCTTTTGAGACACAGCCAAACCAACCAGTTGACATTTCCACCAGGACTGTGTGAGGTTTCCAATTTCTCCACATCTTCACCAACACTTGTTATAATGTCTTTTTTATTATAGCCATCCTGTGGATATGTGGTGGTATCATTAAATTGCTTTTGCAGATCTGTCAAAAATTCATTTGTTATACTTGTATTGGTCTATTTCAAGGTTCTCTATTCTTTTCCATTGATCTCTGTCTTTATGCTTCTACCAGTGCCTCACAGTCTTGATTATTGTATTATATATTAAGTCTTGAAACCAGGTAGGTTTTCCTCACTATTCTTTCTTTTCAAAATTATTTTAACAATTCTAGTTCTTTTGCCTTTCCATATACATTTTAGGATAATCTTGTCTAAGATTACCCTAACCCTAGATTGTTAGATCTAATCTAAGAAACACCTTCCTGCGATCTTGATAGTAATTGCATTGAACTTGTATTTCCACTTATAACGAACTGTATACCATGTTGGATATCCCAATCCATGAACATAGCATGCCTTGCCATTTATTTATATTCCCTTTGATTTCTTTCATCAGCATTTTGTCCTGTGCAGTATGCAATTCCTATGCATGTGTTGTTAGATTTATATCCATTTAATTTTGTAAAAGATTGTATATATATTATATTTTTAGTTTTATCTTCTATGCATTCATTGTTAATGCATATAAACACAATGGACATGTAGATTGATTCATTCTTTCGCCAATAAGTATAATATTATCTATAAGATTTTTTTGTAGATGCTCTTTATTTATACAGGAAGTTGTTTTATAAATATATGAAGCTCATTTATTTATGTAGGAAGTGGTCTTAATCTTCTGGAAGTTCTTATCATGAAGGATGTTAAATTTCATTACACGCTTCTTTTTTACATCAATTGATAAGATAATGATTTTTCTGCTTTAGCCCATTAAAATGAAAGATTACATCAATTTTCACATATCAAACCAGCCTTGCATCCCTGGAATAACTTCATTAGCAATGGTGTACAATTTAAAAAATTATGTTGCTGACTTTGGCATTCATGACTCACAATGGACCCTGTGTCCTGGGTGGGGGAACCTCTCCTGAGGCCTAGAGAGGCATGCAAAGGGCGCCTCTCTGTCCTCCCCATCCTTCGGCTCCTCCCTATGGACTGGGAGTGCCAGCAGTTACAGAAGGGTGCTGGTGGAAGGTTGGAAAATGAAGGTGCCCATGGGGCCTACCTATACTCAAGGTGAGCCTAGAGCTTGTCATTCTTCCCAATCTAGAGCCCAACTGGGACCTGACCTCTGAACTGTGACCTCCACAGCTCTAAAAGTCTGGGCCTAGGCTCTGTCCCCCAGGGATCACAGCATGCCTTGAATTTTCCACTAACAATTTTGTGGTTGTGACTTTGGGCTTTCTGGTCAGGGTGACCTGGGAGCTGGCCAAGCTGGACTTTGCCCAGAGTGGTGGCCAGGAAGAGCACTGATACCTCTTGACCCCTGCAGGGCGATAAACAGCTGGACCCAACACTCTACTGGGGTTATTTTTAGTTGCTGATTCCTGGCAGACCTGGCCTGGTTTGGGCCTGGAGGGAGAACAATGAGAACAATGAGCTTTTGAGCCTTCTCCAGTCCTGTGATCTGTAAGGCCGAGGAAGAAGGTGTATGATAGAGTAGTGGCAGCGCTCTGAGGTGGTGGACAGAAGTTGCCCATCCCCCCGTGCTGACCTGCAGGAAGTTCTTCTATCCCGAGCTCTTTGTCAAACTTCCTGCAGGACCAGGTGCAGGGCCTCTGAGTGACGCTGGGAGACAGCACACAAGCAGTCGTAGCTGCAGCATTATTGGTGTCCCTGCGGGTCAGACACTGGCCCGTATATTGGCCGTGTCATACAGATGAGGAAACTGAGGCTCCACGGCAGGAAGTAACTTGCTCACTCCCAGTGAAATCCCAGCAAGTCCTCACTACAAAAGTATAGTGGAGATTCACATCCAGGCCCTCTGACTCCTTCCAGAGCGTAGGTACTGCAGAGCCTCCTACCCCTTCTGACCTGTATGTGGCCACCATGAGACCAATGGGGTTTGAATCTCCCCTCCTTAATGGCTCTGACTCCATGAATGACCTTGGGCAAGTGACTTGCCTCCCGTATGCCTTGTTTACTCATGTGTGAAATAGGGGGAGTCTTTCTCTCAGGGCTGGATGCAGCTGAAGGTGGGTACCAGGGGTCAAGCGCTTGGTGCCCACAGGAGGGATGTGTGCTATCTGGCTTCCCCCTTCGCAGCATTTGATAATTCAAAGAGCCCACAAAGCACATTTCTGTTCCTCTTGGAAGGATTCACCCAGGAAACACTCTCTGGTCCTCTTGGAGAGGTGATAGGATCTGAACTGCAAGAAATAAACCGATCAGATCTACACAGAACTGTCAGGGAACTCAATCTGCAAGGGGAGATCGGCCCACAGCCAGGGAATGACAATGCCATGAGACACACAAAAAATGTCTGTAACCATCAGCTTGGGCTGCCCTCAGCAGGTGCCTCAGCCCAGGTGGCTGAAACGGCAGAGGCTGGCTTTCTTTCAGTTCTGGAGGCCGGACCTCCAAGATCGAGGTGGGGCAGAGTTGCCTGGTGCTCCTGAAGCCACCTTGGCATTCACATGGCCGTCTCCTCCCTGTATCTTCATGGGATCTTCCCTCTGCACCTATCTCCTGCAAATGCCTCTTCTCACAGGGACACCGGTCATACTGGACTAAATGGACAGTCATTCTCAACCTAATGACCTCATTTAACTTTAATTGCCTCTTTAAAGACCACGTCTCCAAATATGGCCACATCCTCAGGGACTTGAGGCTAGGATTTCAACATATGAATTTTAGAGGACAATTTTCAGCCCATAACCATGAGAGCATTTAAAATAGCAGAGAGCAGCAACTTTTGCACATTGGTGGAAATTAAACCCTGGGTCTGCCAACGAGTCAGCTGGTCAAAATTTGGAGAGAAGGAGGAGTTCCCAGAACTCCAGCTGTGGAGAGATTGTGTGGAGGGATGGCTGACAAATTCCTAAGAGTTACCATGTCTGACCCTGAATGTCAAGTTGTTCTGTGCCCAGCATTGGAATTACTTCCCACTAGCTCCAGAATGTCAGCAAACTCTGCATCCGAATTAACTCTGCTCTCTAAGACCTTTGAGAGAAAGTGGGACTTGGGCATCTCCCTGCTGGTCACTGGGCAGGAGCTGTGAACAAGCAGGATCGCCAGGTGTTCACCCAAATCCTCAGGACCCAGGAGTGGCGGGGGAACAGGCCAGCAGATAGGTGGGGACTCTAGCTGTCTCAGGTAGGACAGCAGAGGATTTGGGGATACCCGGTAACTCCACCGGGGAGGAAGTCACCTTCACTGGCCTGGAGGAGTGCACATGGAAAAAGGCTTCCTGAAGAAGATGAAGACCAAGGAGGGTCTCAAAGTGTGAGTCCCAGGTTTCTGGAGGTAGGCTGTGGTATTCCAAGGAAGGGACCCTGTGAAGGCAGCACCCCACCCCCCGAGTTTCTGCAGACTGTAGGTGACATCTTGCTGAGCAGTCCTCAGAGCGCCAAGCACTGACATGAGCTCTTCTCATGGGTGATGAAAGCAGGTGGCTGCCGAGGATGGAGGAGCTGGCTGTGACTGCCACGCGGGGTACAGGGTGAAGGGCATAGGAGGGGTTAGGTACACTGGCTACACAGGAAGGGCCTGGAACAGCCAGCTACAGAATAAGGACTTTATGCCTCTGACGTGGAACCTGGAGGCTTTGAGCAGGGCAGAGCCAAATGAGGTGGCTCCGGGGACAGAGGGCCTGGTGTGACTGAAAAGTCCCCAGTGCTGAGTGCCAGGAGAGACCTGGAGTAGGGAAAAGGACCATGGTGCTATGAGGCAGCTGAGAGGGCAGGGAGCCACTCCAGGCCCAGGTTGGTGCAGGTTCCATGTGGCACCTGGACCCATGGCCTTCCTGTGCCTGGAAGGGATCCACGGTGACTTTCCAAGAACTGCTGTTTGTTTCTTCCTTGCAACTTGTGTTGGGCCCCAGAGGGAAGGGACTTTCGGACCAATCATGCCCAGCTTACAATTTATGGTGCAGGGCAGCTGGGGACAAGAACAGGACACACATCAATCTAATGCCTCCCTTGTGCCAGGCTGGTGCCAGTACCCTTAACACACTAGCACATGGTTCTCCGGCCATCCTGAGCGGGAGAAGCTGATAGTCCCATTTCCAAAGGGAGACACTGAGTGCCGGGGGGGGGGGGGGAGGAGGACAAGCCCAAGATGCCAGAGCTGAGAAGCCCTTGAATCTAGGTCTCTCGCTCTTTTTCTTAACCCCAAAAGTCTACCTCCTAAGAAGGTCCCCTGGGCTGCTTCAGTTTTCAAGAAGTAGGGGAAAGCCTCTAACTCTATCCCCCATCCTCCTGCCTGGAGGTAGAAGGGAGTATCCCAGTAAGAGGGTGCCTGGCCTGACCACACACCTGCGGATGGTTGGGCAGGGGAGAGGCACACATGCCTGGCATACACAGCTCTACCCGCTACCCACCTCCTCCTTGCTCTGGTCCTGAGCAGGGCTTATGCTTGCAGACAGAGAATTGGAGGTAGTGCCCCTTGGTGAAGCTAGACCCCTGTACAACCACAAGCTACTACCTACTTCCTTGCCTGACCTCCAAAGTCAAGAAGCTACCCTCCTGGCTCTGGGCTCTCCTCTTGGCTCTTTATGGCATTTGTCTTCCCCTCTGAGTCTGTTTCCTCCTCCAATAAAGCAGGGCAATGAGCTGTATTACTCAGCTTTCTTGTCGCTGAGACCTAATATCCAACATCGACAGCTTAAAGGAGGACAGGTAGAATTGGGTTCATGGTCTCAGATATTCAGTCCATGGTAGGGCATGGACTTAGTTAGTTCTCAGCAGCCAGGAGGCAGAACAGGGGAACAGCGTCAGAGAGGAAGATGTGAGGAGCCAGTTTTGGTATCTGAGGTCACGCCTCCCTGAACCGCCCGGACATCCAGACACACCCAATCTGCTAATTTACTAAATCACCCAATTTATTAATCTGCTAGGTTAATCCAATGACATCTGCACATCAAGGTTAACAGTCACAGATGCCATGGTCCCTGGAGGGTGAGTGCGAGAGGGAAACAGGCCACATTTGTGGGGAGCCAGGGAGCCCTGGGTGCCAGCTGTGGGCACCTTTGTGGTCTTCCATGGTTGCTGCTGGGGTTGTGTGGTCCCTGTTGTTGTGACAGAGTTCTCCTCTCTTGCAGGCTGGCTCGTTGGCACTGGAGGACCTCGCAGGCTGGTCCCATGATGGGGAGGAGGGGTCCTGTCTTGGGCAGGGAACTGGGCCTCTCTCCACTTCAGTCTGTTGCCCCAGCTAGTTGAGTTGAGGGATTTCAGGGCTGGGTATCGCCAGGGCAAGGAGTGTTCTGAAGTGAGGGGCAGGGGCTGTAGGGAGGGCGAGTTCATAAAATGACACTTTCCCTTCCTCTGCTTTCACCTTACTCAACAACGCGTGTGCACTGGAAAAGATGCCACTGGGCAGGGAAGCAGAAGCCCTTTTCTCAGTTCACATGTGCCTTGGCTGGTACCAAGAATAGGCTCGATTATGGCATCCACACTCCACACACAGCAAATCCACACACAGCATGTATCAAACATGTACCACGCACTTACACTCCACTGCAGCTGGAGCACCGTGGCAATGCTCCATACACACATCCACAGCACAAACCGTACGCACCCCAGCACACTGGTGCACGTAGCATTTTCTGATGGAGAAAATGCATTTCAAAATAAGCCCCATGAGTTCAGGGATGCTTAAAATGATTTGGTATTTCATTTGTGCCAACAGTATCTTCAGACAAGTGAAAACTAGTCACTCAACAATGCATTTAGAGCCACAGGCGGTGGCACATGCCTGTAATGCCAGAACTCTGGGAGGCTGAGGCAGGAGAATGGCAAGTTTGAGATGAGTCTGAGCAATTTAGCAATTTAGAGAAAACTTGTCTCCAAATTTCAGAAAAAGCTGGTGATGTAGCTCAGTGTGAAGGCCCGGGGTTCAATCCCTACTATCAGAAAAAATGCATCCAATATATCCTTTGTTCCAGCCCTAGTCAGGCCTGAGTTTGATAGTCAGGCACCCATTGTGAATGCTACATAGCTCAGGGCTCTGGGCTGTGAGGGTGGAGACCCCCCAGTTTGGACCACCGTTCAGTTACCCTTTTCTGGTGGTACTTTGGGCTTGAGCTGCCCATGGTTCTGAGTCCCACTTGCCCTGCATGGCCTTCAGCCCATTGTGTGGCTCCTTTCTGTCCACATCACACGTGTGTGCATCTGTGTTTTGGGGGAGGGGCGGGCATGGCATCCAGGCGCCTCTGCCTGCCGGGTCTATGAGCTCATACACTGCTGTCCCAAACGATCCTCCTGCAGCGAAACCTCCCCAGCAGCTCCACCCAGAAGGGAGAGCAGATGGAAAATTGGAGTAAGCCCTCATCTTGGGTCAGGGAAGAAAATATGCTTTTTTTTCCCCATTGACTCTAAAAATATGCTCAAGGCTTTTTTGAGCCTTGTTGCAATAAAAACCAGCTGCGGCTCAGAACGCCTCCACAGCCTTTGCCTAGGGAGAGGGAAAACAAAAACAGCTGCCGGAGGCAGATCACACCCCGTCCAGGCGCTGGCCCAGGGTGCAGGCACCTCCGGCCTGGAATTGCTCCCAGGGGGCCCCAAACAACGCTGTGTGCTTGTTCTGGTGTGAGCACTGGGCCCAGAGGTCACCGGGCCTTTCCTCTCTGTAGTTCCTGGGGCCCGGGGTGATGGGTGACAAGAAAGACTTGAACTCTGCTCCCGGGCACTTCCTCATCTCATGGTGGAGCCAGGTGGGTGTGTGAGACGGCCTGAGAGAGTTGCCTGCTGGCCGAGAAGAGGGAGAGGCCATGTCTGATGTGGGGAGCAGGAAGGTTTCCTGGAGCAGGTGACATTTGGATGGCCGTCAAGGAAGGGGACGGGGAGAACGTTCTGGGAAGAAAGAGCAGAACCCACAAAGGCCTAGAGATGGAGACAGTGACAGGATGGAAGGTGAACGTTGAGAGACATTGGGGGAGCGGGGGCCCTGGATCCTGAACGACACGTTCACAGCATGACAGCAGCCATGCGTGAGCAGAGCAGTGACGGGTCTAAGGCTAGACTGCTCAGAGGACAGTTGGGGAGGGAGGTTGGCTGTCCCCTTAGCGCTCAGGAGAGTTCCTTAAAGAGGGAGCCACACCTTTAATGGGAATTTGGTGGTCTGGCTCACCCCCACGCCACAGCCTGTGGGGCAGAGTGGGGACAGGAGCTGGGGGCTTGGAGTCAGAAGATCTGGCTGGGGTTCCGACCTGGTTGGGACTCCTGAGTCCTTCTTAGGCCTCTACTTTCCACCTACACAGAGTGATCCTAGGGCCTTGATTTCCCTGACGTGTCCACACTGGGGGACTCTTTAGGCTCCAGCCTGCCGCCCTGCTGGCAGGTGGGACAGCTGCACTCAGAGGGAGGAAGGGATCGCCTGCGGTCACACACATGCCCATGGCCAGCAGGGTAGGGACTCCATGCTTCGGAGGAAGAGTCCCTGGTGTGGATCCCTGGTTCTTACAGCCATTAGAGTTGACTTCTGTCCCCAGAGTACAGCCACCCCCATTGCCCTGCTGCAGGGAGAGTCTTGAGCTGGGGCCCAGCGGAGAGGAAGGAGCTTTTAGCAGAGCCCCTTGGGAAGGGACCCCCTCTCCCTCTCCCTTCCTTCTCCAGCAGCAGCTGCAGCCCTGTAGAATGTATCATCTGTTTTTGAAGAACAGACTTAAGCGAAGATGGACTCCCCCAAGACCTATAGCTGGCGTGAGTGGAACGAGAACAGGAGTCCTGTCTGTCTGCCCCAGCAGCTGTGCCTCAAGGCCTCCTTCCCACACACCTGCCCCTCAAACCAGCCTCGAGCTCTGCTGGGGTGTCACGCTCACCGTGGGGTCTCTGGAGGCCCGAGGCAGCACGCAGTGGGTGCCCGGGAAGTGTTCATGGACTAGATGCATGTCCTGGGGAGGGCATGCAGGCTGGGCCGGTGTCTCTATGCTCACCTCATGCACTGTGTTTGTTTGTTGCGGGCTGCATTGCTTCCTGGGCTGACCCTTCCACTATCGCCCTGGTGCCTCCCGGTGTTCTGAAACCTTTTAGCAATACGGGCTGCTTGGTGACCACAGCCCCCGGAAGCAGAAGCCAACTGCTGTGGTAGCATCTGCCATCCTCCCCGCCTGCCCCTCAGGTCCCCAGCCGGCCCCGTCACTGCCTGCCTCCTTTCTGCCAGGTCTCTTTCCTGCCCACCTGCGCTGGATCCCCTCTTACCTACTGTGCCCCAAACAACCAGGGCTCCTCCAAGAAATAATAACAGCGCCAGTGATGTCCTCTGTACATTTTAGTGTGTGCTAGCTAAGTACTCCCTGAGTACTCTAAGACCTATGCTAAGTGCTCTACATTCACTGTTCCTCTCACTGCTCACAATAAGCCCGGGAAGCAGGGCTTTCTGCAGTGCCCGGCACGAAACCCATGGCCCAGTCGGAGGACTTCATTCCGTGGGTGTCGCACTCGGGTGCACATTGGAATCACCTGAAGGGCATCAAGAACTCCCTGTGCTTGTGTCCTGCCACGAGGGGTTGTGGTTTAGTTGCTCTGGGCATAGCTTGGGCTTGGAAATGTTTTAAAGATTCCCAGAAAATTCTACCATGAGCACATGTTTGGGGACCACTGGTTTTCTAGAGAAATTTTAATATAGGACCTTAAAAAACAACCTCAAGCAAAGAGCTGTATTGAGATTTAACGGACAGGCAGGAAATCGCACATACTCAAAATATATAATTTGATAAGTTTTAAAAAACCATCTGAGCCATTTTAAGTATACAGTTCCGTTGAGTTACACAGTTGTGCAACCAGTTTCCAGAACGTTCTTGACTTGCCAAACAGAGACCAAAGCCATTGGCGGTTCCCCACCCCATCCCCTTTCAGCCCCTGGCAATCATCCTTCTACTTCCTGTCTTTGACTTTGATCATTCTAAGTACCTTGTGAACGTGGAATTGCACCATATAGGTCTCTGCGACTGACTTATTCCACTTAGCTGGATGTCCTCCGTGCTTGTCCTTGTAGGCTATGACATGATCTCCTTCCCTTTTAGGGATGAATAATAAATTATTCATTAATCTGTCCATGAGCATCTAAAATGGGGCTGCCATGGATATGGGTGTGTGCGTATCACTTTGGGAAGGCCCCACTCCCCACTCTTTCAGGGATATACCTAGAAGTGGGACTGGTGGATCACATGGTATTTCTATTTTTGATTTTTTTTGAGGAACCACCCTGCCATTTTCCACAATGGCGGCACCTTGTATGATCCCACTCAGGCACACAAGGTTCTAAATTCTCCACACTGTCCCCAACACTTATTTTTTGGGTTTGGTAGCCATTCTCCAGATGCATGTGAAGAGCTGCCCCATTATGGTTCCGACTTGCATTCTTTCATGATTAGTGATGTTCAGCATCTTTTCAAATGCTTGTTGGCCACGTGTAAACTATCTCTGGAGATGTGATGAGGGGCACTTTGCTGAGGTGTGGCTGAGGGTTAAACACTCCTGTAGGGGATGGTGCCTCACCAGAGATGAGCAAGAGCAGGAAGCTGCTACCCTCTCAGGCCTGAAGGAACAAGAGAGGGACCTACAGTCCCAGAAGCTATGGGACAGGGGCTGCCTGGCAGTGCCCAGGACCTAACCATTAGGCAGCACTGCCTCTTCCTGCCAGGGGAAATCTGACAACTTCTCCTTCCATTTAGAATAAAACGGATGAATGGTGACTCTGTCCTCAGTGAGGAGAAGGGCCAGAAAGGGAACTATCACCCTGCTGAGACAACTCTTCCGAGTTCTGCTGCTATGTAAGGCTCTAAATGCCATTTGTTTTCATCTGCTCCTGGAACCGCCAATGCCTAGATCTGAAAGAGACCCCACAGTCTCTGGACCAAATCTCTCATTATCCAGAGGAAAATTATCCAGGCTCCTAGTTACCTACGCAAGTTTCCTTCCAGGGTGACCTGGGCCCCTCTGTTCCCTGGAGCTGGTCTTTATGGTCGCCCTTCACCCCAGAGCCTGCAGGTGGCAAGATGGGCAATGGAGGCCATTCTCCTTTGTTCGAGGAAGCAGGGATCCCTCATGACAACCGGTCAGCACTCTAAGGGGTCCAGATGCTCTCCCAATTGGGTTGTAGACGGGCCACACGGCCAGCCCTGTAGGAGGAGCGATGTGGCACAGGGTCTTCCCCGTGCACTTTCCATCTGGTCCTACGTTGGGCCTCCCTTGGTGCTCCTGCAGCGTAGATGTCCCCCGAGGTTCCACCTGAAGACTCAGGATGCTGGCCTGTCCTAGCGGGAAGGGCTCCCAGCCACACCACCCAGGTGCAGCTTCTCAGAGAGCCGGGAGGACCAAAGT